TCGAGAACCGTAGACATTATCATCGCACCGTCTGTTTCCCCTCTGCTCAGCCATGAGCTTCTTCTCCACGTTGTTCCACCTTCAAGCTTTCGACGGCGAATCATTCATTGAGTGATTTGAGTGATTTTGAGGAGAATGAGTGAATCATTTATCATTCGTGAGTGAGGGGGAGCGAGGCAGGCTATGCAGGCTATGGCAGAGGAGGATAGTGGTAAGCAGGTGAGAGGTGTGATGTGGTGAGTGACTGTCTCTGCATGATCCATGTGTGTTTTTGGACATTCCATCACTCAATCTGTCGATTGCTCGTCGCATTCCATCATTCATTCTCCAGTGAATCACTCCTGCTTGTCTGTCTCGCCCAAGCAACGCTCAAGCACTTGCTCTGCTCGCTCTCCTCATCCACGCCGCCGGCCGGGTTGCTTTTTTTTCTTTTTCCGGGCCAAGCTTGACGCCAGGCGAGTCAGGTGGCCTGCTGCGATGCACTGGTGACTCAGACGGACAAGCAGAAGGCGTGTGAATTGCCTCGCATAAATGGGACCTCGGATATATGGGAAACTCGTTATATGGGACACCCTGGACCGTGTCCCATTTATCCGAGGCCCACTGTAGTACGTAGGCCCCCACCCCGACCTTCATGTATACTGTGGTGAGACACACCTACCCCGACACACCATTGCTTGTTGCTTGTTCTGTGTGAGTGAGTGAGTGAGTGAGAGATATCGATGGGTGGGTGGCTGGGTGATTGAATGGATGGATGGGCTGCAAGTGGTGAATCAGTTGCTGGCTCATTTTCGCTCTTTGTGCTGCTATGCGTTGAAAACGAACACATACATTGACTCATTCAATCATTCGTTGACCCATTCATTCACTCATTCATTCACTTCCTGGCCATTCTCGAGTCTGTTTTGAATGAGAAGGAGTCTGTTTCCCGTGAGAATGTGTTCCACCCACCTGATCGCACAGACAGACGAGGACACTTCGTGATGCCTCCCGTCGCTCTGGCCCAATCAGGTGCGCACTGCTGCACACCAACCGCATTCATGAGATTCGCAAACCCTACTCATAATTAGGGTTCAGCTGAGCACCTCAGCCACCGCCCCGCCCCCCTGCAATGGGAAAAAGCCTCCCGGCAGCGATCGGCAATGAATGCGAGCTTAGATTGAAAGAGGGAGGAGAGAGAGCAGGAGAGAGGCTCACAAGAAGGCCACACACTCAGCCAGGAGTAGCCAGAACACAACAACCAAAGCCGCAGCATTGTGTCTGCTCGCGGTCTCGGGCAGGACGACTTGTGTTTCCGCGTGTTGTTTCGATGGTGTGGGACGTCGGAGGGCCTAATGTGGAGGAGGTGGACTTATGGCTCTACGACGTGACGGAGGCCAAGCTGCAGGGCATAGCCAGATCCCTCCTGGACGTCGACCATCTCTCCCCGGCGGACTCAGAGAAGCAGCCCTACTACCCGCCGAGGGGTGAACTGTGTGACGAGCGCCTTGTGGTGTCGCTGGTGTGCCGTCACGACTGTCACGACCGCCGTTACGACAGCAAGACGGCCACACCTCTGAATGTCGTGTTCGTCGTCAACACAGGTATCAGGGTGTGTGCGTGTCTGTGTGCGTTGGTCTGTGTGTCTGTCTGTCTGTCTGTCTGTGTGTGCAGGGGTGTGGGGATCGTACCTCAGCGAGAAGACCATGAATGCCCTCAAGGGCGGTGTCAAGTGCGGCTCAGACGCATTCATGGCGGTGCGGATAGAAAACATTGCCTTCCACGTCTGGCGCTCGCACGGCCACTTCGTCGAGGCCAACGTGCTGGGGATGGGGGCGCTGCGGAAGCTCGGGTGGTCGCCGCTGATCGACTGGAAGGGCGAGTCCTTTGTGCTCGACAACGCTGGCCTGTACGGCAAAGGTGAGAGCGGCAAAGCATCCAGCTCGAGCGAATGAGGCAGTGAAGCCTGCCGCCTGTCTTTGCTGAGGAACAGTCGTGGGCGAAGGCAGGCAGGCCGCACACACACACACACACGTCTGCACTGTGTTGAGCACGAGCTGATGTGATATGTGTAACTTTGTCCGACACTGTGTGTGGTGGGTGGCTGGAAATATGACGCACCCATGATGCTTGACTTGGTGAGCGAGCCGATTGACCCGCTGTATGTTCCGCGTTGCCTGTCTTTGCGCCGACTGGTGGGGTGGGTGACAGACGCCGGTGTACTGATAAGGCCAATTGTTCGGCCGATTGACACATCACTATGTGCTCTTCAGTGTCTGCCATCACCCACTCCCCCGCCCAGCCTAGCTGCCTGTCTGCCACATTGTGACGCACACACCACATGGACGAGCACACTTGCTGTCTGTCTGTGTTGGTGTGTGGCTGATGTGATGCCTTCTCGTCGCTCTGCCCTCATCACGTGACTGGTTCCTTGTCTGCTCTGTCGCAACAGACAGGGAATTGGTGACGCGACTGCAGCAAAGCGCCAAGAGTGAGTGCATCAGACATCCACCCACCCACTCACTCACTCCCTGACTCACTCACCCACTCACTCACACAATCACTAATTCGCCGCTGCTTGCTATTCACAGATGCCTGCAGGACACACACCGTGTTCTCCCTTCTCCCTCCACCCAGCTGCCTGTATGGTCGCCGAGACACCACACCCTACTACATAACAAACGCAGACCCACCCACACATACTCTCCCTCGCCCAATAGATGTCATGGGCTTGTGCTGGCTTGTTGAGTCCATCATCGTGGTAAGGCCAATTGTTCGGCCGAATGACACACCACAATGTAATGTGCCGAAATATGTGAGTGAGAGTGTTCTCATTCGTTGTCTGCCATCACCCACTCCCCCGCCCAGCCTGTCTGCCACATTGTGACGCACACACCACACGGACGAGGACACTTGCTGTCTGTCGGTGTTTGGTGTGTGGCTGATGTGATGCCTTCTCGCCGCTCTGACCCCATCAGGTGACCGGCTCCCTGTCTGCTGTCAAACACATGCAAGAGAACGGTGACCCGATTGCCGAGCAGCGCCAAGACTGCATCTCACTCACTCACGCAGTCACTAATTCGCCGCCGCTTGCTATTAACAGGTGCAAACAGCTGTCCGCTCGCCGAAAACACCACACCCTACTACATAACGCAGACCCGGCCCACCCACAAAACGACGAACAAATACTCTCTCCCTCGCCGATGATCGATCACTACACTAGCCACTCAGCAACTTCCTCTCGCCGCCTCTCTGCAGCGCCCTCCTCTCCAGCCCTTTGAGAATGTGCCCTGCCCTCGCGTCCAGTTTGAGCACCATGTCGCCCAGCCCCTCCCTCTCGAGCCGCGTCACGCCCTTGTTGACGATGGCCACGGGCACCTCACGGTCCAGCGCCAGCTTCACCAGCCTGTAGGCTGTCACGCACACACACATACAGACAGGCAGGGCAGCCAAGTGACGAGTGGAGGCGTGCACTGCACGTGGGTGTGGTGTGTGTATGTGTGTGTCTGTGGGTACCTGAGAAGACTTCGAGTGACGATCCCACAACCAGGAGGCCCTCGGCATTCTCTACCTGCTTGTTCACCTGCACATACACAGAGACGGACGCACACACTAGTCCGCGTGAATATCTCTTATTATGTTGTAGGCGTGCATCCGCACCGTACCTGTCGTTTGATTGCCGGCGACACCACATCGCCGAAAAAGATCACAGCTGGTTTGAGCATCCCCCCACACCTGCGACGCGCCGCGCCCAGGGACCCCCCCACACACACAGGGACCCACACAGGGGAGGGATGCACTCGTATACACACACATGGGATGGGTGTCCTTCCTGTGTCTTAGAACTGCACCGCTGGCACGTTGGCACGGTGAAGGAGCCGTAGTCGACAATGTCGTCCAGATTAGCGTCCCCATCCGCCCGCAGCCGATGGGCGTCCAAATTCTGCAGTTCTTCGCCGAGACCATGCCTGCGCCAAACCCAGTTGACCAACACGAGTCAGATGAGGGGTCCGGGGCCGTTCGTTCGTCCGTGTGTGTGCGGCTACCTCCCGATCCAGCGCTCGTTGAGCAGGAGCAATTGCGTCTGGAAGGCCTTGCGTGACAGCTGGTGACCACAATTCATGCACACCACCCTGTCGCTCCGCCCATGCAGGTCAAGCACATTCCTCGAGCCAGCCTATACCACGTCACACACACACACACACACAAAACAGGTGCCTCATGAGCATGGATCCACGAGTGTCTCGAGTGTAGGGATTCCCACTTTTTGGTGCAGCCTGTCGACATTCTGTGTGACGATGCCCTCGACCGCCCCCGCAGCCTCCAGCCGCGCCAAGGCGATGTGCGCGTCGTTGGGCTTGGCCAGGGCAAAAGCCCCGTAGCCGAACATCGAGCGGGCCCAGTAGCGTTGGCGACTCCAGGGGTTGAATATGTACTCGTCATGCTGGATGGGCCTGTGGCCTCTCGAGTAGCTGCCTGTCGGCCCTCGATAGTCCGGAATGCCACTCTCTGTCGAACACCCAGCCCTGACAGACAGACAGAGAGATCAACAGCACCGTAGGTATACACACGTGTGTGTGTGTGTGTGTGAGTGTGTGTGTGTTCCATAATCTCACCCGGTGATGACTTGCAGCCGTTGGGTCTCCCGAAGGAAATCATAAAGCTGCTCCACCTGATCATCGCCAGACACGTCCTCAGGCAGCCCCTCAGCCATCTCAGCATCATCAGCCATAGCCGCTGGGGCAGCTGGAACAAGCAGCTCTGGCCGGGCAGGCACGGTGCTCATCATGCTCCTGCTCTCCCTGCGCCTCCGAGCTGGCAGCAATGGGCTCCTGTGGAAGCATGTGGCCACCGTCCGCCACCGCGAGTGCGCCGGATGGTGCAGGAAGGCCATGATCCGCCTGAGGTCGATGCCAAACAAGAGGAGAATGCAGCGGGCGGTGGAGCTGAACGTGGCAGCTCTTCGACGGCGTCTCATAACCAGGATGATCTCCCTCTGGCACTTCAAGCTTTAAGCTCGCAAGGCGCGAGCGATCCAAAATGTGATCTAATTAATCTTCCCTTGGTCCCCAACCTCTTGTCGCGTCTTGCGCTCTCAAGTGCCAAAGCCGCATACAGAAGGTAGGCGTGAGTCGTGAATCGGTGTCGATTTTCCTGGACAAAACGTGTTTGTTGTCTGTGGTGTGCTGTGCGCTGGAAAAGGGTGCTTATCTACCGACAACACGTTCGCAGGTCAGCACCAGGCGCCTTTGAACAACCAAAGGGGACCACGAGTGTGTGGTCTGTCTTTCAGGAAAAGACGCCTCAGAGGCCATCGACATGTCATTGAGCGGACATCTCCCCCTTCGGACTCAAATCGTCAGAGGCCTCACAGCCTCGCTCGTCCCAATCTACGGCCGGGCGTCAGTCGATGAAGACCATGCGGACGATGCTACGTCATTCAGGACGCCAGGGTGGCGCTTCTCAGGAACAAACAGCCGCCGAACCTCCACTCAAACCTCACACAGACAGAGCAGGACGTCGAGGACCTCTCGCACGTCGCGAGACGAAGAGGGTCTCCGCCAGGCCGACGTGGAAGCGGCAGCCCCCTTTCTTCTCGGCGGGCTTTCGCTGTCGCAAGGGGACATTGCTGATATTGCTGAGGGGGCCGAAGGGGAGGAAAATGGCGATGATGAGCTCGACGCCGCGGGAACTGTAAGCCCACAGCCACAGCCTGCAGGGGGTGACAGGGATGATGTCGGACCTGTCGAGGAGGAGTTAACACCGGCCCGTCGAGCTTCGCTGACAAGATATTCTCTTGGGGGCCAAGGGCTGCAGGGCACGGCTGGGTTCCTCGCTCAGATGCTCGGCAATGCGATGGAGAGGGCGCCCGACGCAATTGAGGCGTCGAATGTCCGGCTGCCAAGGGCGCCTACACAGTCCCGGTCGGTCGGACAAGATGAGGACCGCCTCGATCACACACATACCGAACCGGTGAGTAAGACGGACACGTGGTCCTTTTTTCTCACCTTCCATATTTTTCTCTGTTGCAGCACTGCCGCTCGTTTGGGCCTGGATGTGTCGCTGACTGAAGGGCTCGAGATCGATATAGGAGCCCGGCGCGCCCTGGGGGCTACAACAGACCAGATAAGAGAGGACCCGGCAGTCCTTGGTGCGGGCCTCGAAGCATTTCCTTTTTTCACCCCCTCGTGCTGCGGCTCGGCCGTCGTCTTCTGTGTGGTTTATGTGGGTGTGGCGGTCGGGAGCGCCCTGCTGGCAGGAACGGACGAGACCTTGGGCAGGATGCTGCTGGCCGTCACCCCCAGTATCCTCATCCTCTCCTACTTCACTCTCATCTATCGCCGTCACGTATTCCTTACCCAAATGCTCTACACCTTTCTCGAGGCCATCGGCTGGATGATCCCAGTTGTTTGCGTGCGCGTGCTGGTGGAGTGGGCGATGGCGTCACACGTGCAGCGATGGATGGACGAGCGAAACGAGACGGCCCTCATCCTGTGGGCCCTTGTCGAGGCGTACATTCTCGCGGCTTTGATGGAAGAGAGCCTCAAGTACGTCTGTGCTCGCCGGGTGCTTTGGAAAGATCATGTAGCTGATCCGCGAAGTCTTATTGGATATTCGCTGGCCGCAGGTAGAGCACCAAAGGAGGAAAGACCGCGTACCTACTCGTGTCTTCTTCCCTATCGTGTGCCTGTGTCCAGCAAACGGCTTCGCCCTGGTCGAAAACTGGCTGTACATCTTCTCAGACAGCAATGAGAGCAGTGTGCTGGGGCTGCCCGAGGCCTCTGTGGCGGGAGTGCTGAGGATGCTGATCTCTGTCCCAGGACACTCACTGACCGGTACACCCATTGCCAGGCAGGACCGATGGCTGGTCAACCCTGTTTATGGTTTGTGTGCAGGCATCATCATTGGCGCGATTCTGGGAAGGCGGAAATTCCTTGGCAAGTACTTTCAGACGCGATTCTATCGAATCATGGTCAGCTGAGACACAAGACGAAGGAGCCACCCTCGCGGAAAATGTGTCTCCCTCTCCAGGTTTGGCCCATCCTCATTCACGGCACATACAACTTCGTGTTGGTCGTCACCCACATGTACCGGCTCGAGTGGTCCCTCGGCCTGGCAATCGCCCTCGCCCTCCTGCTGGCGGCCTTCTTCTACTCGCGGCACATCCTGCTGGAGCTCAAACGGGTCCCACTGGTGGACGTCCATCGGCTGTGGCGCAAGGGCGATGTCATGAGCCCCGATTGCTGCTGCGGCGTGCTGCTCTTCAGCGGCTGCCGCGCCGCCATGGCCGACATTATCCACCCTGACGGCCCTACTGACGCTCATCCACACACCCAACTGACGGACCCCTTCATGAGCCCCGGATCGACGCACACGTTCGGCAGAGGGCAGACATCCTTCGAATCGAGTGTCAATGCGTCCCTCCCCCTGCCGTCCTTCACACCGCTCCCCTCCTTCACGCCGCGTGATGCCGCAGTCGCCGGCCCTGCCCTCAGCAAGAAAGGGTCCAATGTGGTGCTCAGCAAGCCTGCCTCGTCCGTCACGATCGGCGCCACGAGCAACAGGAGCCAGGCCACGTCGATCGTGAGTCAAGTGCCCAGCTTCACCCAGCATAGAGGCCGCATCTGCGCGCAGCTGCAGCAAGCATCCACAATGAGCGACACAGCCAGCAATGCAGGCGATGCCACCCTCACGCCGCAGCGAACCACCCGATGGGCATCGATCATCGAGCGAATGCTGGGACAGGGAAACGAGCAGCACCCCACCCAGCGTGCTCGCGTGCGCACGGTGGTGTTCCAGCTCGTGTGTCCTTACTGCAAGAACGCCCTCATCGTGCACAACGTGCTGCTGACCGAGGTGACGTGCCCATTCTGCCACGAGCAGTTTGCGGTGGAGAATGCGGGCAGGAAGGAGTATGGGTTCATGCACACACTGCTGGAGGAGATTCACGAGGAGCAGGAGGAGCACATGTACAACAATGAGGACGACAGGCGCAGCCACAGCAGCAGCGCGGCCAGTGCCGTGGGCAGCGTGCGCAGGTGAAAGTGTGTGCCTATATGTCCGTGTCTCGTATTTTCTCGTGCCTCCCTGCCTGATCTGACTGACATTGCTTTGCTCACTGGACTTTGGCTGGGGCGGGAGACTTTCCTTTTTCCCTCAGTGACATGGCATTCATTGCAAACACAATGCCCTACTATGCATTGCCCAAAGCGTACATACGCATCCGTCCAAAAGTCCTCTGACCCACAAGACCACTCGCTGTCTCACTCGCTGTCTCACTCATATCAGCGAGGCCCAGAACTGACTCACTGAGTAGTCGAAGTCTAGTAGGCAGGCGGCTGCTGTTGGATAAGGACCATTTGCTTCCCGGCCGGCTGAGCAGAGGTGGCAACGTACGGCTGCGAAGGCTGGGTTGGCTGGCCGAGGACAGTCCCCGGCATCAGCACCATTGGCTGCACTTGACCCGGCGTCAGCATCATCCCCGCTCCAGGCTGTGGCAACGCGGTTGGCGTGATTGGGGGCATGTCCTTCTTGAAGCCGTGTGCCCTGATGGGGTCAAAAACCATGGCGGGAGAGGGCAGGGAGATGGATGCATTCAGCTGACCGCATGACGTGTCGATACTCCTGACAGAAGGTGCTGTCAGAGATATACATCCCAACAGAAGGTCAGCTGAATATGTCTGGCTATTGTCTGTCCACTGTTTTTCTGTCTGTCTGTCTGTCCGCTGTCTGTCTGCCGATCCTCACCAAGGGCCGCACCAGAAGACACAGCAGCAGTCCTGAAGCGGCAAGAAAACGGGCAATGAGAATGGTGCAGAGACACGACTCTGATGCGTCCTCACCTGGGCACAATCCAGCGGCTCGATCTTATAATACCTGACGTCGACGCACCACAGAAGACGATCGGCAGAAATGAGTAGTAGAAGTCCCTCTTAGCTGAGCAGCTGCCTTACGCTCGCAGCTTGGTCCGGTAGTGAAGGTTGAGGACCAGCAATACGATGGCAAACACCACAGACACCACGCTGAACATCCAGCCGGCGATCCGATTCGGGCTGATGTTAGGGATGTAGAAGAGAGCTTGCTGGACAATCGATATCACCCACGAGATCATCCATAGGGTGAAGAACAACCAGAAGCCTGCGGCAGCACATAGGAGAGAGACCACCCGTGGTGACAAAGGGCGAAAGGCCGTGTTTCTTGCCCGTGCTCCATCGGAGAATCTTTGTCTCGTCCAGGGGCCACGCCTACAGCCATCCATGTGGGAGCGAGTGAGGTAGAGGGACAAATCGAGGGTCGTCGTGTGGGCTTCTGCACATCTTGAAGTAGGCAAAAATTGGGTTGATTACGAGGCCGACGGTGCCCCAAAAACAGCTAGAGCCGTCGCTTCCACAGTCGAACACGCCATCAGACCAACGACCTGCATGCAGCACGGATCAAGACTTAGTCTTGTTCGTGCGTCTTCTCTTGCCCGCCCACCCTGCCATTCGTGGTCTCGTGGGTCGAAAGCCTGCCCTCCTCCGCGGGAGGGCCCATACGTAACGACGGGTGCTGGCAGGGGAGTCGGCTGGCCGGAATATACCATGATACGGAAGGAAACAGGAAGGGGAAGAGGGGAAAATGTCTGTGAAGTCTCGGGGCCTCAAGTCGGGGCCTCGGTCAATACCAGAATTTCTTTGCAGCCCTCTTTTTCCTTCAGTAGTGATTCGCACAAAAGATCCCATGCAGACCCACTGAATTCATGCCTCCGAGGGACCTCTGATCTGAGTGAGCGTTTGCTCTCTGAGCCTCTCTGACATTATGTTCTGATCTACGTGCGACTCATCTTGTGAGACGTTCGTGTGTCTACACTGAGACATGATTCATCATAAATCTACATTGAAGCTAACAACAGAGGCTACGACAAGACACTGACTAATTACCTACGCATACATCACATTGAGGGCTGGGAGGGCGCCAGATTAGTAGCCAGGCGGCCCCTGCTGCTCAGCCTCAGGCTGGATGATAATCGTCTGCTGACCGGCCGGCTCCGCAGGGGTCACAACTGGAGGCTGGATTGGCTGGCCCAGCACAGTGCCCGGCGGCACTGCCATTGGTTGCACCTGGCCGGGCACCAGCACCATTCCCGCCCCTGGCAGTGTTTGCAGTGGGCCGCCTGGCGTGATTGGGGGCATGTCGTCCTTGAAGCCGTGGGCCCTGATGTGTATCACAACCATGCCGACAGGAGACAGGAAGCGATCTGTATAAGTCGATAGATGAGAGCTCACCGCATCACGTGCCGATATTCCTGACAGAAGGTGCTGTCAGTAACATACACGTCAGCAGAAAGGGCCAGCTGAATATGTCTGGCCATTGTCTGTCTACTGTTTTTCTGTCTGTCTGTCTGTCTGTTTGTCCGCTGTCTGTCTGTCGATCCTCACCAAGGGCCGCACCAGAAGACACAGCAGCAGTCCTGCAGCGGCAAAAAATCGACGGCCGATGATCAATAGTGCAGAGACATGAATCTTGCGCCCTCACCCCGAAGCCGTCTGTCTCCTGGATTTTATAATACCTGACACACCATGCTATCCACACAAACCCCCGGAGGAGTGAACGAATGTGTGTCTGCCAGCTGGGAACTGTCAAGCGGCCTTACGCTCGCAGCTTGGTCCGGTAGTGAAGGTTGAGGACCAGCAATGCGATGGCAAACACCACGGACAACACGGTGAACATCCAGCCGGCGATCGGGCTGATGTTAGGGATGAAAGAGAGAGCTTGCTGGACAATCGGTATCACAAATTGTAGGGACCAGAGGGTGAAGAACAATGTGAAGCCTGCATCGACACACAGAGCGGCATACATATGTGATGACAGCACGGGAAGGGCCGTGTTTCTTGCCCGTGCTCCAATGGAGGATCTTTGTCTCGTCCAGGGGCCACGCCTACAGCCATCCATGTAAGAGCAAAGGGGCAATCGGAGGCCTTTGTTCCACTTCTGCGTCTGCACACCTTGAAGTACGCAAAAATGGGGTTGATTATGAGGCCGACGGTGCCCCAAAAACAGCTAGAGCCGTCGCTTCCACAGTTGAACACGCCATCAGACCAACGACCTGCACCACGCAACGGCGCAAACAAGCGAAAGTTGAGGCCTAGTGGAGTCTTCCCCCTCTCGTCCACCCACCCTGCCATTCAAGGTCTCGTGGGTCGTAAGCATGAGCTCCTCCAGGCTGATCGGGTGTTCTTCCCTCGGGTCCCCCATAGGTGACGACGGGTGCGGGAAGGGGAGTGGGCTGGCCGGAGTATGCCATAAGGGCGTCCTAACTGTTCCGGTCGGGGAACCCTGAGGCTCCCTGGTGGTTGGAAGCGTGTTTTTCCTCAGGGGACGAGGTTCGAGTTGGGGCCGTGAAGGAGGAACGAAACCGCAAGTGCATTCAACGAATTTGCAGCCCCCCGCACAGCTAGTGTTTAGATCAGCAGGGTGGCGTCCTTCATTGGCACTTGCAATGGGGAAAAACTTGCCAGCGAGCGATCGGCCGAACGAGCTTAGAGGCAAAAACCCTTCCTCTTGAGGTTACTTTGAATGGTGGAAACGGAGAGGACAGATCTTCGAAGATCTACGCATTTCCGTGGCTCTTTTGTCCATCCATCTCTGGCTGGGTGGATGCACTAGTGAGAGTGAGAGTGAGAGTGTGCATATCCGCTTCTCTGCCCATCTACCCCAATAAGTGTTGACTCGTCAATCATGTCAGTCTCGTGAACCGTGCACGTGTCTCGCCTCCATCCCTTTTGACGCACCCACACACGCAAGCTCCCTCCCAATCATAACTGACAGCTACATCCACCCACAGCCGCCCATTCCATCCCATCCATCCGATGGCATTGCAGGCCGACAGAAGCATGGGTCCATGCATTCATTGCCATGCAGCCATCAGACCCCTCTGCCCTCTGCTCGTTGCTGTGGTCACTCACGGCACTCATGCGCCTGCCAGCCAGTCTGTCTGTCTGTCTGTCTGTCTGTCCGTCTGTTCTACACGCTGCCCTACGGATAGCGATGACGTCAGTCAATTATCTCCTACTCTACATACTCTACTCGGCCCCCCCCTACCCCTCACTACGACTGACTTTTACACAACCGCTTCACATGCACCTTCTTCTTGGCTGCACGCAGAAACAAGCAGACAAAAGGGAGGGAGAACCGATTCGGTCAAGACACTGTCGCTTTCTTCCCGCCCTCACAGACGTACTTCGTCAATTCGGTGGCCGACCCTCCGTTGACCAGCGGCATTTGTTGGTCTCCCTCCACATAATGATCACCGGAGTCGGCCACTGACCACCACATGCAGGTCTCAATCGAAATGTCCACCACAAGAACAAAGGCTATCATGACAATCGCCAGCAGCCGGATCTCCTTGAAGTGTGTCGTGACTGCCACGGCCGCCAGGATGCTCACACCGACCACACCAGGCAGCCAACGTATCGGGGCCTCGGACCACAGCTTGTCTCGCAATTCCTGCGCACAGACACGTACGCACACACAAGAAACCAAACAGGTCGTTGCGTGGGCGTGGCTGCACAAAGACGCACTTACTCGAAGTCTCCGCCTCTGCCGAGTGCGACAACGACGCGCCGCCCGTGCGAATGCATCGTCATTGTGCAGGTTGTCCAGCAAGAGGCCCAGCTCGGATGGTGTGAGCATGAAGATCCGCAGATGAGTGCCGATGCGCTGCCGCATGGCGGGCGTGCGGGTTTTCTGCCACACACGCCACCGATCTCTCGGACGGATGCGCTGAAACCAATTCGGTCTCGGTGAAGGAGTGGCCATCAAGTCAAGCTGCTCACACATATGCAGATATCTGACCGTCTCCCCTCCTGGTTTCTCTCGCTTACATAAAGCTCCTGTGGCTGTCACGGGCCAGTCAAGGGCTACCCTTCTCGCTGCTGTCCGTTGATTCAGAGAAGGTGCTGGGGGTCTGACACGTCGAGAAACCGCTCCCGTCCCTTCAAGTTTGAGCTTCAGTGCCCCCTCCAGCTCGAACCCCTGCAAGCGAAGAAGGAACAGCCACGGTGCGGCGTCCGTCCGTTTTATAGCAGTTACTGCATCCATCCATCCATCAAGTCAGCCCTCTATCCGTCACTCACGTCTCTCCTCCCTCTGTGTCAGTCATATCTGTCTGTCTGTCTGTCTGTCTGTCGTTGTGTGGCTCACACGGTGGTCGTCGTGTCGGGGCTGGTGGTGCCGT